CACGGTCATGGTACAATGAATGATGGAAATACGGCAAGACGATTTTTCTCAAACTATAAAACATCAGCTCCCATTACAGGTGCTGATGAAAATATAATTAAAAGATTTTGCAACCACCATTTTGCAAGTCATTTCTTCAGGACAAACAATAAATATAACAAAATTTAAAGAATATGCTGAAGTAACTATGAACTTATACATTGATGTATATAAATGGTATTACATGCCTTCAAGTGTGCATAAACTACTTGCCCATGGAGCAGACATAATTGCCAGTTTCAGCCTAATTCCAGTTGGAAAATTATCTGAAGAAGCATCCGAATCCCGAAACAAGGACTTTAGACTATATCGCTTAGACCATTCTAGAAAATTCAATAGAAAAGCAACTAATCAAGACATTCTTAATAATTTATTAATTAGTTCGGACCCATATATTTCAAAGAAGCGAATTAAATTGCTACGGAATCATAGACAACTGTCAGATGAAGCAAAAGATTAAATAATTTTATCAGAATCTTTTGATGATGGATGGATGACACAGATTTGGAAAATTTCGATTTTGTAAATGTTGATTTGCCATATAATATGAGGACCGAACAGCCTGAGCCTGAGACCGAGTAATTTAAAATATATTTTATTAATTTATAATATATTTCGTAGCGTAAAAAAAAATAACTATTCTATAATAATATTTTTTCACCAAGTCACATCACGCAACATTTAACATGTCAAGGTACAATTTGTGGATCTTTTATAACACTCCCATAACTTAGCCTATAAAAAATGTCACTTAATTGTCTAATCAAACAAATGTCAAACAATTTCCAAAGTCTCCTTACAATTTAGTATTTACTATAGATTTTTTTTTTAAAGCTGTCAATAAGCTGCAATGCATTAGAGTGGACACCATAGAACTTTAATTTGTCAAGCAATATATCATGTAAACAATCAAACGCCTTAGGCAGGTCGCAAAAGACACTCGAGCATTTATGACAATCATAATCGGTAACATTTGTTATAGCACCTGTTGTTGATCGACCAGTTCCAAATCCATACTGCCTGTCCATGTGGATTGATTCTGACCCTAAATAGTCCACCATTCTGTTCTTGATAATTGTCAAAAAACTTTTTGACTTGCATGGTGGTGTGGTATACAAATAGGTCTATTGTTGTTGTTCCGATCGTGTTTTTCTCCTTTCTTGAAGACATATATCACTACTCCTATAGAAATACGCCTTGTTGTAAACAATTGTTCAGCACTTCCAATATAAGATGTTGAAGATAGCCATCTCCTAATATTAAACGTTCACTGTTTTTACATCTAAGTTGTTTAATATCTTTTACTAAAACAGCAAAGTCTACTGGCTTTGCTTTACAGTAATTTGTTTTACAGTTTTGAGCAATTCTCGTATGTCAATTCTTGGCAATTTAAAAATGGAACATGGTCTTTCTATTCTTTCAACTATTTTTAGGGAAGTTTTGTTTTTAATAAAAATATACAACAAAAGAATATAAAAAGCCAATGTATATCAATATAAATATACTGAGGATGGAACTATGACAAATACGTCCTTTGCAATGCACTTCTTTACACCATGGAATAGATTTTTTTTTAATTTATAACATTTTCAACCCAGACCGTTATATTACAAAACTCGCACTGAACCGCAAGTGCAGATATACCGGGTGGAAATTTGTAATGCGACCTGGAGGGAAAGTACTCTAAATACTAGAGATAGAAATTTTTACTTAAAGGAAATGGTTCTTTACTTAAAGGAAATCTTTATTGTTTTAAAGAAATAAAACTGCATTCATAGATTTTCGATAATGTCTAGCAATTCGCGGGAATCGAACACGCTTTAATCTGAAAAAATGTTTTGCATCGATCGATAGGGTTAACTATAAGAATAAAAACTCTCTCACAAAATTGGTTAATGAAATGAAAAAAAAAAAACCACGAAATCTTAACGTATTTTAATAAAACGAAAAAAATAGTAATCTAACTAATTAGTTGCTCGAAATGAGCTCCATTTTCTTGGATACACAAATTTAATCTTTTAACGAATTCATTTTGTGTAACTTTTAATAAAGTGGTGTGATGAATTGTATAACAAATCGTATCCTGAACCTCAGCCTTCAACTCGTTTACACTCGCATAGGATTTAAGGTAAATTTGATTTTTAACGTATACCCACAAAAAAAATATAAAGGGGTGAGATCTGGTGATCTCGCAGGCCATCTGATTGTGCCGTTTGTACCAATCCAGGTATTAAAATGGTTACTAATGTAGGCAGTAGTGACTGCTGTTATGGGCTAGAGCGCCATCTTGCTGCAGAATTATGCGATTTCGCTCTTCCTCGGATAGAACATTTAACTCATTTCTTAAGAATCCAGTATTTCAAGGGACTTGACAGTGTTCAAATGACCTTCGTACACGTGGACTAACACAACCATATTTCTCATAATTCCGCACCAAACGTTGAAAGAGAATATTACTTGATTGTTAGTTTCATGAACACGAACAGGATTCACGCGAGACCAATAATGGTTATTGCGGCGGTTGTACATGCCGTTATTACTGAAGTTGGTTTCGTCAGACCATACAATGTTACTCAAAAAATTCGGGTTACGGCCAACTTCTCTTAGCATGTTTTAATGAATAAATGACGTCAACGATAATTAACGAGTAATCTGATGGACCTTTGAGTAAAAGTGCTTTAACTTGACCCATTGAATTTATAACTCCAGATTTCATGGTTTGTAAGAGAGATTTCATCCTCATAACTGACCCTAACGATTGATTTAATAAAAGTACAGGGTGCATTTTTTTAAAGATTTTAGCGGGTTCGATTCCCGCGTGTGGCTAGCAATTTTCGAAAATCTTTTAATGCAGTATTATTTCTTTTTAAAAATAAAGGAATGTTTCCTTTAAGTAAACATTTATATCTCCAGTATTTAACGTACTTTCCTTCCAAGTGGCATTGCAAATTTCCACATTTGCATATTTTATGGTAACTCGAGACTCCCAACTGTATGGATCAATACATTATTTTTTGAAAAAATTTAAGATTTCAGAGATATACCCCAATTACACTTTTTCTCATTACAAAAAAAAAAATTCAGAGTCATATACCTAAAAAATCACTGTGTCAATCGAAAATATCCACATGACAGGTTATGATTGTATTGGTGAGTAAAATCAATATCCATCATCATATTTATAAAAGGAGATGTTTAATTTTCAAGTACCCCTAAGTCCACTAGCGATCGTTTTCAGCCCACTGTGCGGCGGCGCAGCGGCAGCTGGCTCAACGCGATCGGAGCGACTCGTGGTAGCGGGAACGGAGCGAGATTGCACGACGATCGGCGGCGAAAGGTCATTGACCTTACGAGTTGACGAATTTTTAATTATGTTTTCTTTCAGCGATTTTTCAATACTGCGGGCTTTGTTTAGTAGTTCACTAAACGTTTTAAAACTGTCACGATCTATTCTCTTTCGAATTCTGCGATCGAGTAAACTATAAGTCATATCTAACTCGACGTGCTCCGAGAGGTCTCCGTTTGGTAGATAAGCGAAGAGAGCTCGAACTTTCGCGACAAACAGGTCAGTTGACAATGTACCTTGTTGCATGGCGAAAAGTTCACGGTAAACTCGGAAAGGCGGTTTCGGTTCACCAAAAGCACAACGTAATTTTGTAATAGCATCTTGCCAGCTAGACGTAGATCTTTTAACACCTTGCCACCAGACGGCTGCATTATCAGTCAGCAGCATAGACAATCCTTTAAGAGCGTTCTCGTCGGAAATACGAAGACACGATTTGCAGACCTCGACAGCATCGATAAAACCCTCAACGGACTCGTTTCGTTTTCCACCAAAACGAGCTGTATACTGTGTGTAGTTAGCGGACGGAGCGACGGCGGTGGCGCGGCGATGTCAGCGGTGTCGGCCCGCTCGGGCGTGATCGCCGGCGGCTGAGGGCGTCGAAGCACGAACTTCTAGCAGTAAACGTTGGAATATGTCCGCATTCGACTGTTGGAACGTATTCAACAGCTCGGAAAAGTTTTCCATGGACATTGTGACGTTTGGAGCGGCGGCAGCTTGGTGAGTATTATCGTTTTCGTCCTCTCTGAACGGCGCGGACAGTCTTTGACGTGTACGCGGCATCACGACGGAAAGATCTACAGTTGGTAAGTTACCCGTGATTAGTGTATAAATACAGTAGCACAGTTTAATGTCACTTTTGCAAAAATTTTTACACGTGGTTTAGTTTCAGAACAGTTTGTAAACACAATTTTCACTGTTCAATGACACACGAAATAAGGGCGCCATTTGTGATGGCTGCTTGCCTCCACCACAGTTTCTGCCTCCGCGGCTTCACCATTTATTGAACTTTTTATATTCAATATCAAATTTTACTCAAAAGTTATTCTCTAAAACGCAGCGTACCGGCAAAGCGCGTACTCGCGCCATGTTTTTTCTTCTCCGCTCGATCACCGCGACGCGGCGAGACACGACGGGAGCCGAAGGTAGAGTTCCTCCCCTCCCTCACAGATGGAGTCACCATGCGTGGAGCGGCAAGGTGGGAGACTTCCCGCGTTTTATCCACCATTTTTTTAGTAAACGGTACAGGTAGATATTTTTATTTCTCGCAATTATGTATACTCGGCAACTGGCTGTATGCATAGATTTAGTATGTAGGTACCCAATATACTAAATCTGTGGCTGTAGGAGATTTTCATTTGCCATTTTTCATTTTTTTATTTGTAAGTCAATGTTTTTTTTCATTTCATTTTCATTTTCATAGTTCATTGTTGTAGTAGAGTAGATAGATTTAAAAGTTTAGAGCAGCGGACAGTAATAGATTTTCATACTTCCTTTGCCGGGCACTGCCGGGAAAATGTAGCACGGTCCATAAATAATAAACATTACGAGTTAATTTTTTTAAAGAAATACAAACATTTCCGAACACGTTAGAGAAAAAAAATGTATTAAGGTGTGCATAAGATGTTTACTATTCGACTTTATTGAAATTTTTTGTAAGTCGAGGACGCGACATTATTAAGCCTTGGTGCTCAAGAAATGAACTTTCATGCGATTTGGCTCACGTAGGTACGCTATTGGCAGTGCTTCCTGCTAAATCCAATTATTTTGCATTCGCATCGCAAGCCAGTTTCTTTGGATCAGACTTTAAAGTAAGTGTTCTTTAAAATCCTACGTCAATTTTAAGACCATCTTTACACTTTTAATCATGATAATGTACTGACTTTCCTTACGAAATGTAAATCGGGTAAGTAGCGTCATGCATTTATTGTGTCACAAAATCAGAACGTTTTTGGTAACTAGTGCCTTTACTTTAGGTGAAATGAAATGGAAATGAAATGAAGATAAAAATAGCGAGCTTTACATAAACACTTTATTGCGCGTGATACAGCAATCGTTTGCACTGAAAAAAAAAAAAGAAATAATTGAACTGGTTTGGCTAAATGCAATTTTGGTTATTATTTACTAAATTTTTGTTGAAAATAGCAAAAATGATTTTGCTGCATAATCCTAAACCGGTTTTTCTAGTCAGTCGTTGTCTAATGTTAGATAAAAGTTTAGCTAATATTTACTAAAACGAAGTAACCAAACTTTTTTGTTAACTGGATGCCAAGTACATCTATCTAATATTAACTCTAGTCTTTAGTAATATTTTGTTAAAATAGACTTAGCTAAATAATACTAAAAAAAGTTTAGTATTTCATAAATATTTTTTTTTTTTAATTTAGACAAATTTTGTTTTAGGTAACTAGGTGCCTACTCATAACACATGACGAACAAGCCAAAGAAATTTCATATCCTAATATAAAGTTGTTTATAAATTAAAAGATAACATTTTGTTTCTTTACACAAAACCGTATAACTAAAACGCGACTCCCTCGCCTCCCGAGCTTCATGCCCTGTAAACGAAACTTTCAACACGTTCGTTCTAATAAGAACGATAATATAAATAAATAAATAAACATATTTCGCCGCAGCCGTTCACAAAGAAGAAGCGTTGCCTGTGTATGGAAGAATTTCAAATTCTTTGAGCTCGATTGGGGTTTTTGTGCATCATTATAGGCATCGATCTATTTGAAATTTATGAAAAATTATACGTTTGTTGTGAAATTGAGCCATTCGAAACCAAGACCTGTAATGGACGACGTCTCAGTGGATCCGTTGGCCGATTATTTCAAATCATGGGGTCTGGAAATGTACATCAACTTGTTTAAAGGTATGTGCTCATTTGATTCTAATTTGAATTAGTAATTAGTAAGTATGTGACCCATAAATGTATAATAAAGTAGGTACTCTGTGTATGTGTGACTGTTCTTTACAATGAATGTGGTCTATACTCCACATGGCCGAGTTGAGGTGCGTGACTATATAGGTATTTAAATTGTCCTGGGTGATCGCATGGTAATACCGACAGAGTTTGATTGAGGAGATGATGAATATGGTGATGATGTAGTGTTGAGTTACTCATACACGAGGCAACTCGTTTGTACCACTCGCTTGGTTAGTTTGTGTCAACACCTCACGTCATAAAAATGTCCCACCTTACACCTCGCCTTGTGTCATAGCCATATCTTAACACTCATGTTATCTAATAATTGATGCCATCAAGTTATGAAAAGGTGCTTAATATTCCCTGTTTGATGATCATACTACCATAGTAGGTACTAAATAAAATTAGCAATTATTTATACTATATCATAATACTTAAGGTGTCTAATGGATTGATACCATCAACTTATGAAAATGTGCTTAATATTCCCTGTCTGTTGAGTCATTGCCGTAGGTGCAAACATTCTTACCACTACCTTGCCTCATTTGCAGTAGGACATTGCACCTCCTCATTTTTTCAAATGAGGTACTGCCTCAAACTCATTTTAATTTCATGTCCTACCCAACACTATGATGATGACAGCTCAATACAAAAGTCTCAGCGGTATTACTAAGGGTTGACCCCGTGATCTTGTCCTTGACATTAATTTTTTCACTGATTCTAATTAGACACTTAATAGCTATGACTAATTTCATCATTCTAATAGATATCAAGTAGGTATCACGTCTGTCTTGCTGGTCAATGTGATACTGGTTATAGACCCTCACTCTTTGGTTGTTTTTTATTGGCTGGTACCAATATGGTAAAATACTGTAAAGGGTGATGCTGGTCGATGAAGCTACTTAATTCTACAGTCATGTGCTATGAAATATTTACAAATTACATAGGTATTTATTTATTTGTTCGGAATACCAACAGATTTCACATAAATACCTAGATTTCAAAAATGTAATCAATATTTAGTTAAGGCACTGTTCTTATGCATAGGCCAAGTAAAGGTATCCCATCACAATAGATATTCAGATACAATTTTAAAAAATTTAATAATAAATCCTTATTGACTCAAATGCAAATTATTCATTTAGGTGAAAATAACTGAAGTTTTGTTGAAATAATAATATTAAATAATTAATTATGAGGTCAAAATAAGTACCTAGTTAATTGATGTAAATATAACAGTGCAATTGTATAATTAAACATTTCGTGGAAAAAAAAAAGTTAAAATAAAATTAAAAAATAACATGACAATGAAAATAAAGTGTTAAGCTGTAATGACACGCAATTTACATTTAAATTTATTGAAAAAAATCATAGAAAAAAATTATTAAACAAATTACAAAGGGTCTTTGATTATTTCTTAACACATTAGCAATTATGATAGTGCACTGTATCAATATTAATTTTTCTTTGTTTTCTTATTAACAGAACAAGCAATTGATTCTGAAACTCTCCAGATGTTATCACAGGATGATATTAAGGAATTAATACAGATTACATCTGACCCAGAGGTATTAACAGCATTAATGAAAATTATTTTAATTTCCTACTTACTATTTATATACAATGATTACTAAATTACTACACTCCCAGTTTGACTTTTTGCCCTTTCATTTTATTATTATTACTATATGTTTTACTAGGTACCTGTGTTTTATTTTAAGTCTGCCAAACCTTCAGGTGAATTTAAAAACTCATACACAACTAGTTGGGAGAAATCTCTTTACGCTTCTATTTGGTAAAGAAACATGTGAATTGAAGTATTATAAATTACAGTAATTTGCAATATTGTTGTTAATGCATACTAATATTATTTAATTTGAAATTATTATTTTTTTACAATTACAGTAACTGAAGAGTAGAAATTATAGATGTGAAAGTCACTGTCTCTTGGTTAATATTGCACAGCTAAAATAAACCCAGGAAAATAACTTCTTTAGTTCTACCATATACTTATCTTTGCAGCATAGTAATGAGGTATCTGTACCGAGAACCAGTGATCTGCCTGTTTTAGAAGATTCAGCCCTACAACTGCTTGATTTAGCTGAACCAAACTCTAATATAGAGAATGAGGAACCTCTTGGCAGTTCTAATACATGTGTAAGTACCTATGGTTTGTTCTTGCTTTTTATTTTAAGTTACCTATAATGCTGGGGCCACTCTAATGCTTAATGGCATTCGTTATCGCGTTAATCGCATAAGCGCATAATGCGATCGAGTGCGACCCAGCATAATAGGTATTTAAAAAGTAGGTACCCAAGTACCGTGAACCGAGAAGGTCATTCTACGCTCAGATATAACAGTCTCTGGAATTCATGTTGAAATCCATACCAATATTATAAATGCGTAAGTAAGTTGTTTGTCTAATAGGTACCTTTTCACACCTAAATAACTGAACCGATTTCGACGAAATTTTGCGCACCTTTTGATCGCGAAACGAGATGGATATTGGGTACGTGACATAACAATAGATCGTGTAGGTCAAGCAACAACGAGAACAATCAATTCATGAGTTGGTAACAATTTCCCATTTTGACGAAATTTTGCACAGACATACAGAGTGATATTTTTGAAACTGGGACGGTATGGGGAAATTGGAAAGTATGGGAGATATAGGGAAACTGTCTTAGGAACCATTCTTTTTTTTGTGGAAACAATTTTGGCATAGTAAATTTTTTGGTCAAGCGTGAGTTGTCCATGAAAATGAATAAAATAAAATTGATGATTTTTTTAGTGTTAACTGACTCAGTGGATCATTTCAGTGGATCATCAAGGATCATTTCATTGTATCGGCAGAAAAAAATCGGGACTGCAGAAATTGGTCAAATTTAATAAAATGTTATTAATTTTACATGAACATGTTTTTTTATTAGATTTGGCCTCACTAACTTCTAACTAACTAAACTTCTGCAGTCCCGATTTTTTCTTCCAGTATTACGAAATGCTCCTTTCACGAAACTGAGTCAATCAGCACTAAAAAAAATTTTATGGACAACTCACGCTTAACCAAAAAATTGACTACGCCAAAATCGTTTTCACAAAAAAAGACAGAATGATTCCTAAGACAGTTTCCCTGTATTTGTTTTCCCCATACTGTCCCAGTTAAAAAAAACACACTATAGTTAGTAACGTAGAAACCTACATAAAGTTTGACCTTTCGCACCACTATAGTCGTACAGGCCGCCCGAATATTTTCGCGTCGTATAACTGCAGACTTAGCATGGCAAGTTTAATTTTTTTTATACATCGCACCCTTCGTGGAAGAATGGCATAAGTGGAATTACGTCAAACATGTTTAGTTGGAGACAATGTGGGTTATATTTTTCTGTATCTAATCCAATTGGAGAGATTGTGGGTTATGTTTTTACTATATCTAATGGAGCAATAAACATGTTTGGTGAGGGGTGCGACATATATGTGGTACTTTTTAAGACTTGTCAGATGTCATTTCAAAGATAAAACTATTTTTAAGAACCACACTGTAGATATGTATCGTAATGTATCCGAATAACGATAATTCAATTTTGAAGAAGTTTATACGATTTTGAGTCCGTGTAACGAAGGAAAGGGGTTACTTCTTCGCTTTCAAGAGACTGGATTATTAAATAATGCGGCCAGAAGGAGACTGCAATCTTAACATAACAAACGAATTAAAAGACCACCCAAATATCAAGATTTCCAGTTCAAGATTATACCAATGGGCCTTTGAAATTAACAAAGTATTTAAAAAGGAAAGCCCTGCAGTATATTTCACAACCTTCAAATCGTTCAAAACTCGTCAAAAAACTCTGCACAGGGGAAACTATTTGATTGCTACACACAAAAAAGACGTGAATACATAAAAACAGGTGTCATAGTTTCTGGAAGACAACCTTCTACAGAATCGCCCTGTCGCAATGCAACCACACAAGAGGCCATCAACCTTTTACAAAATAAAGATGATGATATCGAGCAAAAAATTTTATGACTTGAAAACTGTATGGATCCATCGTCGACTGTAGAGTCACATTGGGAGTTTACAACTAAGCAAAGATTAAGCCTTTTAGCATCAAGTGCTATCTCAATTGAGGACTATTATCGACAATTCAAAGCTCTAAATCAGCCAGGAGGCATAAATCTGGTAAGTATACGTTTATTTGTATTTTATCTGTTCTAAATAAATGTCTATAATAATATTTGTTTGCAGCTTTTGAAGGACTTTAAAATGTTGTATCCGGAAACTGACGAAAAACTAAACAAAAACTGGAATTTGAAACCTGATGGAGTCAAACACAGAAAACACAGCCGCATTTTTGAGTACTATTTTAGAATAAAAGTCAATCAGTATTGGTATTAAATGTTTTGAGATCCGTTATTAAAGTATTTAGTGTTGTATAATTTTTTTCAAATTTAGTGTCTAATTGAAACAAAGCTTTTTGTATAAATTGCCAAGCGTGCTTACATTCTGATGGATATTCTGCATTCAATACAAAAATAATTTTAAAACATGCATCAACTGCTGTTAGCAAAGATGTTACTTCATACCGAATTTTATTGAGGACGATATATCTTCCGGAAATTTCCCTTAGTTAAGTCCCGACAACTATTATAAAAGGTTGCAAGTGCAGTCCTATTTTTTTGCAATTTTCCTTGTCGTCTGGTAATAGTTTCTTCGATTTCAGAGGAGTTTTTATGTGGATGATGAAACCATCGAGCACCTCCTGTTTCGATGGTCGCCATTGTGGTCCTTTTCCCTTATTGATTTTCACTGTGGCATTAGTGTCCTAAGAAACGGTATGGCCATGAAAGCCATCAGATCTGTTCTTTCGTCAGTGTCATCTAGAAATTAAAAAAAAATTACAAAGAACAACTACTGCTAAATTGTCCAAGTATTACAGGTATTAAGAGGGAGCATGCCAAAAAAGTTTTGACGTTGGCTCCGCCCAAATTTGTGAAACAAATATATGCCTGAAGTTCGCGTGACGACAGATGTTGAGTTTTGCGCATTAAAAGTACCAAATTCATTTTAGCGGAGTAACTCTAAAACTAAAGGGATTAAAAAAAATCCGTAGTGACAGTTCTCAATCATGCATAAATATAATTAATTATCTAATTTTTGTCCTAATAACCTGTAGCATTTCGAGGATGAATCGAAAAAATGTGAAATTTAGAGGTAATTTCGTGGTTTTTATCTATCGAGAAAACTTTATTGTTTTTATGTTTCTGATTAGTGTCTATGCTTGAATATATCGTGTAGTTACTCATACAATATTTTATTTTTAACTTTCAAGTGGATATACCCGTCTAAAATCAAATCGAAGATTAGGAATTTTTCCTCTGCTCCCTCTTAAGGAAAAATCTGTTTGGTTGGCAGTTAATAATTTTAGTTTATTTCAACAAGTTGGCGTCGATATCATGCATGACATATTAGAGGGAGTTGCCAAATATATAATGCCTTTTCTAATTTTGAAGTATATTCGAGATTTAAAATACTTTTCTTTAAAAGTTTTAAACTTCTAAAGAAACTTTTAAAATTTTAAGGATAGTAAATTGCGATTACGGTCCCGATAGTCACAATAAACCTTGCCCTACGAGCATGGAACATATTTCTAAGGGTAACATTCGCCTTTCTGCTTCAGAAATGTTAACTTTTGTACGTTACTTTGCTTTGCTTATTGGCCATTTTGTACCGAAAGATGATCCATATTGGCAAATGTACATACATTACACCAAGGAAAGTCATAGACATAACAATATGTCCCATTGTTACCAAAGAGAATTGTATTGCTTTAAAGTTCTTGGTATCGCAGCTAAATGAACTATATACGCTATTAACGTCCGAAACTTTAAAACCTAAATTTCATTTCCTACTTCACTATCATGCAATGCAATGATGTTAAATTTTGGACCTCTCATTAGTATGTGATCTATACGTTATGAAGTCAAACATAGATTATCGAAAATAGCTGCTTGTGCTTCATTTAATCGTCGCAACCTTACACTGGCCCTAGCTACCAAACATCAGCTACAACTTAATGAAATATTCATAAAAGATTTTTTATGTCCTCTTGTTACAACTGGAGCTATAAAAAGAATTTCTAATAATAAACGCAAAGAAGTTTTAAACTCTTTGAATTTGGATTCAAATCAATCTCTCACATGTGTTACATGGGCAATAGTAAAAATGACACATTACAAGCCTGGAACAATTTTCATAAATGACATTAGAAATCTAAACGAGATAGGTTTTATGACTGTAAAAATATATTTGTTTTTAATTGCGACAAGATTTTATTAGAATGTACTTTGTTATCAACTGCAGATTTTGATGATCACTATCATTGTTTTGAGGTAGAGGTGCCAATAAATGAAACAAAAATTTATATTTTTCAGGAAAATTGACTTTCGTTCTTGCCTATTCATATAAATATTGCTTTCAATGGGAAAAGCTATGTTACACAAAGAGTTTGTGTATAGATTAAGATTTGTTTTTTTTTTTTGATTATTAATTTGTTTGAGACCTTACCAGAGCGGCCGCATCACAGCATCTTATCACTAGGGACAAAAAAATACTAATCTGTCAATACTTTGTAATCGCTTTCATGTGATGATTAGTTCTTTGTTCCTAGTTATAAGTTTTACGAGGACAGGTTAAAATTATCTACTGAAGGACCTTCAGTCGATATTTTTCCGGTCAGAAGCCAGGTGAAAATTATTTTGTCGTTAATAATGAGTCTATTGAAATTTATTAAAAATATTTATTGTCTTAGAGAAGTTTTTGTAGCTTCACTTTTTGTTTTGTTTTAACATACCTACAACGAGATGCGTACTTGGATGACAAAAATCCGTGGTAGTAACCCGTTTAGCTCATGGAGGTAGTCTCGATCTCTGATGTTTCAAATAAAAAAATTGTAAATGTTATTTACAAAGAGCAACCCCTAGAGTTTCTTGCTCATTCTTCTCAGGGGAATCTGCCTTACGAATGAGCGGTAGAGTTTAACCGTTGTGACGATTTCAAGTGTAATAATGTTTACCTATGAAATAAAGATTATTTTGAATTTGAATTAGATTTGTTACTAGATTAGATTTCAAGCTGATTGCGATCGATCGATAAAATCGACCATTAAAAAACAAATGCTTTAAAAAACTAAAATAGTCATATAGTATTATTGTTATACGTAACAGTATTGAAACAAACATTGAAATTGTATACATGGAGCTATATTTGTGAATGAAACAGTGTTTTGTTTCTGTAAATCTATGCCATATTTGGTGAGTTCAAAAGAAATAAAACACTTGTTTCATTAACAAACATAACTTAAATATTTTTTTATCAGTAAGGCCGGTAGAAGTAAGCTTCAATTGTGGTAAAATAATGCTGCAGTGCATGCACTCCACTTTCCATGTCGTGCTACGACGTCCTACTGAGTGTTAGCGGGTATTTACTGAACTTTAATCTATCGACTGTGGAAAGGAACAACTCCTAAAGCGATATTTTTTATGAAATTAAGTTGTAAATATATATAGTTGAAATAAACATCTTTTTCTTATTTCACAAAAAAAAATGTCGCTTCAGGGGTTCTTCCTTTCCACTGTCGTCCTTTTTCCACCATATTTTTTGTCTTTGTGTAACTAGGAAAAGTAAACAATTACAAGATTTTACTATATTCTTTTCTTTTTACATGTAAACCGTCATCTATAAAATCTTCAGACAGCTGTTGGACCAAATATACACGGGTTAAAATTTTCTCTTTAAAAAAAAAAATATTTTTACGTACTCAATTATTTTAGTCAGTTCTAACTGACTGAAACTTATGAGCACATTTTTTAAAGTGGCAATTTTAACCCGTGTATTTGGTCCAACAGCCGCCTAGCAACGCGCTACTGGTAACAAAATAATATCAGCAATAAATAGATAAACTATTTTATTTAGGTGTTACTCAACATGTTAATTATAAAAAAGCAAACTAGTTTATTTCGTCACTACACCTCAGTTTAGTCATCGATAACAAAATAATTTATTTAATTGATTTTCAACAAGTTGCCTATCAATAGTTAACTATTTCTGTATGAATAGCAATACTACATTTATTTAATTTTAATTAAAAAGTACCTATCCATAGCAATACTAATTCGATTTGGTACAAGCAAACCATTGTGTTGAAAATAACTAAGCTATTGTTGCTGTTAGACAAAGTACTTTGGTACAAATACCTGTCTGTGAACCTCGTTCACTCATTTATTCAATCATTTTTGCTAAACTTATTTAGTGCCAGGTAACTATTAACAGTTTAGTTACAAGTAACTCTCTTTACAAAACTCGATTTAGCTACTAGTAAGCCCTCGGTTCAGTTGTCACTCGATTTTGGTAACCTGTAGCTAAAAGTTTGGTTACGTGTAACAATTCTTTTTTTTTTTCAGTGTGCGATTGAGCGCGCTGAAAAGATGTTGGAAAGAAAAGGGAAAAACAGCGCGATCGCTCTCATCCGTCCCGCAATCACGCGTTACAAGGCAGATCTAAGAAAGATAGGCATAAGACAAAAAGATACGTGCACTTAAACAAATTACAAAATAAATAAAAAATGAGAATTAACTGATGTTAAATTAGCTTTAAATATATTAGAAAACAAATCGTTAGGTCTCGAGTATTAAGTTTATATGTACTTAGAACTTAGCAAGAAATTACTAGAGAATGTCTGTCATTACAATGTTATTGTGGAATATTTCATAGTACTTTAAGGCTTATCGCAATCAATAATTTCTTACCTGTTTTATTTTCACGCCACACGTTCCAGTAACTCGAGTCAGCGTGAAAGCAATTAGCTGGGAAAATAGTTTTTCCCGGGTCTGAAATAAACCTGATTCATATCACGCGTACACCTCGGGGAAATTGCCGAGTTCAGCTCGCCCCTGTTTATGGAAAGTTACGGAGATTAAGTACCTATAGCCTATATGTTCTACGTACCTGTGTTGCTAGTTTGGTATCTCTTAACTCACCTTGAATGATTCTTGATAAACCAAGATTTTTATAGGCGACGAGGCGACGAACGAGCAACTTATGTCTCCGGGTGTCACCTGAGACATAAGTTGTTCGTTGCCCTACGAGCGGCACTGCAACTGTTATGGACAGGCGTGACGCTTACCACCAGGCGCACGACTAGTTCATCCCCGCACTTAGTATTACAAAAAAAGAACAGGTCGTGCACCTGGTGGTAAGGAACACTCCAGTTCATAATAGTTACAGTGCCGCTCTGATCTTTAAATCGCAAACATCTGAAGTGCAGTGCCACTCGCGGGTCACGCTGAAACATAAGTTGAAAAGTCCCACGCTCACTAATGCGAGCCAAGCAGTAACTTGCTTGGCGGCAAAAATAGGTAAGGTAATTCCTTGGAGGTCTATTGCTACTAAAAAACTTGTACTAAAATACTGTTCCCACTTCGCTAGGTGCCTTTTTACTAAACTAATGTTATTTCGGGCAAATGTATTTTCTGACTTCTGAATCCTTAGCCGTAAAATGAGTACAACAATATTTTGTAAGTTATTGCTGACGTTTAATAAAAAATCAAATCAAGTAAATCATTTTAAAAATAAGATTAAAATCAAAACAACTATGTATAGTTTCTTTGTTCTAAATATTTCAATCGCTTGTGGTTCGAACAATTATTGAATATGACCAAGAAGTTTATTATAAGCTTCTTGAAATTGACGTACGTCTCTTTCCATTTTTTACGAATGCAAGGTGTAGAAAAATGGATTTGGATGTTTTATATTTATTTTTGTTTATGTGTATCGCTTGTGTGTGTGTTTTGTGATAAATAAACCATTTATCTATCTTTCTAAAAAGGACAGTTAGCTATTTCATTATTTTGTTTACTTTTGTAATTTATATTGATTCATTTATATATAAATTAAATATTATACAACTGTACAAAATAACACTTTAAATGATAACACAGTATATTCGTTTAGTGAAAATATGATACAAAACCCTGTTTTTACACTTTTCAGCAGTAATTTTTTTGAGATTGACAACCGCGCTGTCAGTCGAACGAACGAAGACTGTTGCGCGATTGACGCTCAGTATGCGATCTTAACGCCCTATAGGTGCGGACACTTTTTAGCGCTAACCAGACGTCCATTTGTTGGTAGGTCAATGTATTCATGCCAAAATTGTTTGCTCGAAGAGTGACGTCCTCCTTGAAATTGATTGCGTATTCAGTACAAGTTCCACGTGTCAAACAGGATCAGGATTTTTGGTGAATACATTCATTCTCCTTTTGCACAAAATCGAAATATGATCTTTTTGCTCCAGCAACTCCCGAAACGTCTAGACTATTTTAAACTTATTAGGATTCGATCTTTGAAATCCTATTATACAATAAAATGTAGAATATTCTCATTTTAAAATTGGCCAGACAACATCTTTTTTTAGGCAAACAAAACAATGCTCAGTGCAATTTGACGTTGTCAAAGGTCATTTTAAAGTTGAGTTTTTGTAAAATTCCACATAAAATTTAATTAGATAGTTTATTTTCGCACGTATTGTGTGCAAAAATTGTTGAATAGCATTAAATAATTCAGTTGAAAACTCGATTCCGGATCTTCAAAAGGGCACCGCCATAAGCAAAGGAAGAAATTTTGTGATAGAAACTGTTGTGGATAAATGGCTGCGTCGTTGATAGGTTTTTATCTCAGAAAATTGTCCCGGTATTCATTACACTTTTCAATTAATAGTTATAGACGCTGATACCTATCGAGGTTCTCGGACCGTTAATAAAATTTATATCTGCTTCTATATCTCTCGTCTTGACTTTTTCATATCCAGGAATAGTGTCGAGTCGTTTCTCTGCCTCAGTGGCCGAACGGTTCCCATGCCGCGCTGCCACGCAGAGGTCCCAGGTTCGACTTCCCTCGTCAGTTTGGGTGTAATTTGTGGTTGTCCATGGCACCCGCGACACAAGGTTTCCCTAGCGCGGGACTATGTTGAGTGTGTGTGTTATTGTTTTCAATTGTATTAAAAAACGAACGTTGAGTAATTACCCAAAAATAGTGTTTCCCGTTGGATTGATGATCGTCTGATCTGGTCTTGCCAATGGGATTTTTTCTCCCACTGTCCAGATCAGACTGGTCTAGCCAATGCGTTTTTTCCTATCGTCCAGATTAGCTAGGGGTTAATTAAAGTATCGTTGATTGCGAAATGGCTGACCTTTTGGTCATTAGGTTTTATGTATATTGTGATACGCATTGGTCTATTGTTGTGCAAGACGAATTTTTTCTTGTAATGTCAAGTAGGCACAAGTAAAAAAGTCTGCTGCTGTTAATCTTGATAGTTAAAGTAAGTGAATTCGTTTTGGTTGCAGCCTCTTCATTGTGTAAACTTCATTGTAAAAGTCTGAAAAATCCCACGCTTTCCAATTGTGAGCCGGAATTTCCCAATTTTCCAACGGGAAATGAAACGGAAAATTTTCACTATACATTTTTCAATATTTCGGAATTGCGCTACGTAGGTGGTGCTTCCGCTTCTGAGTTTGCATAGATATGGAATTTTCAACTGATATCGGATTGAATTTTTCCATTGGAAGCTTTTGAATTTTGTCACTATTTTTCTTAGCATTTGAAGTTCTTTTTTTGTATGTTATTTTTTGCCTTGTGTGCGGGTTTGAGTTCTTATTTATTTAGGATAAGAAAAAGACCACGCGCATATTTCCTTTTTTGTGTCAGCGTGTAATTTTATAGCCACAAACTTGCTTTGAACATTGAGGCTTGTGAAATCCTGTGATCGTTTTACTTGACACGTGGTGGTAACTCACCTGTCCAACGCGGTTGCAGTGCCACTCTGACGGACGAACTCTTTTCACAAGAATCTCTACTGCTAATAAAAAAAAAACAAAAAAATAATTACTTAAAATTTCAAAGCTGTTTAGTTTTTAAGCCATTTTTGGGCTCCTGCAGAAAAACAAGCTCGCCTTATGTGGTCAATATTGTCGGGTAGTGCCAGTCGAGCGCTGGTCTTTAATCGAGATAGCATGTTCTCAATTAAACACCACCGCACGACCGACGAAATTTCTTATTAGTTTATCGTCGTTGTCTATTCGCCCCGTCAGATCTGCTTTCTCTCTTTGTGTATTTATTTTCGCCATCGTAACTCCACATTGCGAACTTTTGTAAATACTATGAAATAGAAAGATGGCAACAGTTGAAGTGGCATAGAGTGCTTACCTTGGATACGAATCTTCAATCCGACAATATAGTTTGCTGTTGTCGGGAAACTGTACCAATGTAGACGATTTATTTAAGATTAAAAAACAATGTATAAAGTCGATATGCAGAGGTTAAACTTTAGAGAGTCGTGCAGTGTATTGAAAAAGTTGAGTACCCTCCCACTCCCATGCATTTACATAAAGCAGATAGTCACATTTGTGAAACAGTCGCCTGGCTTTTTAAAATGGAACCGACATCAATTTGATAATATGTTACAAGCACTATATTGCCGATTATCAAGCATTGAAAATAGTCCTTAATTTATGGGCATAAACATTTTTAACTCGCTACGTAGTCACCTAAGAGAAAGAGAAAGTGAAATAAACATAATGCTGCGTAAAGGTTGCCACAACTCATTTCTGGAATGCAAAAATAACTCGCAGACCAAATAAACCGATGGATATCTATACGACTGACATTATATATCGTCTAATCTGACTTGACATCTTAGACATGATTTAATATTAATATGATAAAATGGTAATAGGTTTAATTAAGTGTATAATTTGTAGCAGTTTACCTAAGAATATTTGTCCGCCATTATTGATAGATTTTTTTGATGCTCAGCACTATTATTTACTAAACATCAATTGTGACATCCAAAACGCATACAAACAAGTTTCATTTAATTTGATTTATTTTAAAGTTCATTGTTTATAATGGTTTGTACTTATGTTTTTCTGCTAATTGTGCAAAAGTCCTCGGGATATTCAGATTTGATTCTGATCAAGTTTCAGGCAGTATTGCTAGATATTTCCCAAATTTTGACATAAACTATTTCAAAGACGCTGTCGGACCCATCCTCACGAGTCACATAAATGCCACCAGGGTGCTGGTAACAAAAGGTGAAAATTGGTTTCTATTTACATTTTTGGATTTGCACAGAGTAATGTAATACTTAGCTCCAATAATAATTAAAAGTTAATAATTCGTTTAAACTTTAATTATCATGGAATGCAAATTCCAACAATATTTATCTTTCGTCTGAGCTAACACAGACTGTAATATTAATCCATGCGACGATGCTATACTGTGACAAAAATTATTTAAACGCTAAATTTGTTAGGTGGAATTTGTAATAACGTAATTTAATTCTTAATTTGCGCAAGTAAAAACTATAAATATGCATTGCTCATTTCACTGCAGCATTTTGGAGTAAGCCAGCCAAATTTGGAAACCTTGTTATTATGATATGTACATTTTGCGGCTTGAAAATATACAAAAGAAGTTTGCTCGTTTTCTGTGATGACTGTTACAATTCTGCCAATTACTACAATCGCTGTAGGAGGCATCATCTCCTACCACTAGAAATTCGTCGTGATGTTAGGGACTTACAAGTTTTTATTAACAACGGTATCGGACTCTATTGACTTACTGGAATTGCTATCACAAGTATCACTGACAGTTCCCGGTCTTAGAAACAAGTGACTTTTAGTTCTACTCCCGGCCCGTACTAATTACAGGCAAAACGAATTTGTGTGTGGCGTGCAAACATTTTAACATACTCTTGATCTGGGTTTTTTTAATA